ATTTCTGATTAAAATGAGACCTCTCCGAGCTCTACACGATCTTTCTTTGCAAAGTTATAGAGTTTGCAAGAAAAGCCCTTAAATTTTCATTAAGGGTCTCAAACTTAACTCAAAGCTACAGAAATAAAAAGAAATTAATTTAGGGCTTTTGTTGTAAATTATATAACTTTGCAAAGAAAGATCGTGTAGAGCTCGGAGAGGTCTCATTTTAATCAGAAATCTGCGGGCTACAATCCTGCCTCATGAACAGGCTTTGGTTATTTTTTAGGAGTTTCAGAAATTCGGTCTCTTAAGACCTATCGGCCAAAATGATTGTTATATTAGGAATCAGTACTCTTGATTATCTCTGACCCACAAGGTTTTAGCCCGAAAGCGATTTGCAACCTGGGGAGATTCCCTCGTGAATTGAGTACACCACTAGATGTAGTTTTCTTAGCACTTAATCTGATAGAGAAAATCTTTTAAACGGTGTTTTTCACGTACTGATGTTTCTTGTAAGATATAATGACATCGTTGCATAGTTCGGATTTGGAGACTCTCAGTATAACTGTTGTAACTTTTAATAAAAGCATCATTTGGAACTGGAAAACATCTCATTTTAACTAGAAATATTTATTCTACAAACTAATACCAATTGAATCTTTTTCGATTTCATTATTTTGTTGAAATGGCAAAATTTCAGAAAATTACTTAGGTATCTTACAACAACTTCTTGGAAACCTCTTACAAACATCAAAAAGAATATGAGTTCTTATATCAGATGTCGTGGACTATCGAACCATAGGCTTAGCTCAACATCGATCTTATACGGACAAATCTGTATTTCTAACAGGGAAGATCTTAAATGAGGAGAGATCTAAATTTGTTTGCTGTATAATACATTGTTTCAAAACTGCTTTGTGTATATATAATTGTAGACAAGTCGCGATAGTCGTACTCCCGTATGTAAAGAATGTATTCCGTGTAAACCGTCACCATCAGTCGCATTAAATAGAACACCGTCAAGTAGATTATTTAAATCAGCCTCAATGGATTGGACAAATAACGACAGAATAGGTAAGTTTATTTTCTATAACCGATTATAATGACTATAGCTGAATTGACTGTTTAGAAACATGGTTTGAAAAAGCAAAAACACCAGGTATATTGCTTCAGCTGGTTTCTTTGTCGCATTACATCGACACATTTAACTGAACTTAGATCAGCGTGTCGTTTATAAGTTTTTGGAAAACATCAATAAAAACAAGCAATTTGATAAGACAATTGATTCATCAAATCGAAAATCATTAGATGATATCTTAGAAAATCTAGAAAAGTATGAAATGATTTAGAATTAATGTGCAACTACTAGATCATGAACATTCTGTTATTTCTTTCGAGACAATAAACATCAAAAAATCTTCATTTGTCTATTTTCTTTAGATTTAGAGCAAAATTTGGTAGTAATCATACAGGGAAAAATGATCGATATACACGTGTATTTGAGTCGAAGAGTTGGCGTGTTATGCGTCATCAATATGGGCCGCATCAATTTAATCGTAATAATTCGATTGGTAGCGATGATGCTTCAAAAGATATACGAATAGGTTCAGTATTTACTACCACACGGAGAAAAAATGATTCTACATTTCTACTTTATCCCGGATGGGTTTAAACCTGTATGTTTTCAAACTAATTGATTTCCAATTTATCTATTCACTTTTACACATAAATCTGCTGCCTTTTTTTCTTTCTACAAGAATGTTGTTTTTATTATTTAAAGTAGAACTGATCAGTTTGCATATTCAGTATCTCATATTATTTTGCACAATAAGCAGACTATATGGAGAATATTCTAGAAGATTAAACAGTCATCAATTCTCAAAAGAGTCAAAGCCTGTGATTTTAACTTGAGAGCCTTCTTAGATGTTTAAAAGTTACATCTCTAGAAGTCGTATTATGGTAGAATAATATTAAAATCTTTTCTAATTTCGATTTTCCATGCAGATGATGCGTATTAAGGTTGATTTAAATTAGGCCAGTCGCAATTCATATATTCGACAGACTACAGTCATTTTCAAAATATAAATTACATGAATAGTTTTGAATAATCTATAATAGAAGGTAAATATTTACATTAAAACCAGTTTTCAAATTTTCGAAACATCAGTTCATATGTCTACCACTTATTCGAAGAAACCAAATCCTTCTTGGAAAATTGTCACGCTCTTCGAAATAAATAGATAATATGTAGGTGATCATAATAGTGTAAATTTCGAATTTATCACTTTAAAAGGTGCTGATAGAATAACACTATTAGATTTCTATCGTAAACAAAAGGCTAGCAACTACATTACGTGTATCATCTATAATAATATCAGATGTCGCTCAACCAAGAGGTTCAATGAATATTTCTGAGACGTCACTATAAAATATTACGCGATCACCTCAACCTTCACCACCATCTGCGGTTAGTCATCAGACGATATTCAATATTTATAGAACGATATAAGTAACTTTATCAATACTGATGCTACTTCATAGTACTTGAGGGCCTCGTTATCGATATACAGCGTCACATCCACTAGGAAGCCATAAAATCGTCCATGGTGTAGTACCAAATAAAAGCGAAAGAGCGAATATGCTATAAATTTTGGTCGATAATCTGTATTTCCATACATTTTTGGGATTACCCTGACTCGTCCAAATTCGATCGTAAAGCTCCAGGACAAGTGATAATTTTTAATGTATGATTTTTAAATTTTTTTAAATTTTGAATTGAATAAGATTTTAGACATGCTTCTCTCAATTAATTTATGAAGTAACAATTTTCAAACTATCAGTTAAAATAAAGAAAATTTAAATTTCATAATCTTTCAATCTTGGTCTCTGGGCAAGCAAAAGAAGTCTTTTTTAATCGACTCATTAACTTATACTTTACTTATTACGAATTAGTTTAAACATAAAATTTTTGTCGACAGCACGGCACGCATTTAGTTTCAGGAAAACGAATGTCAAGTAGATATTATCAAATGCTTTCAAATATTTCCATGTCTGCATTGAAGATAATATTCATTTATCTATTTTTAACCAACTGAATTCAATTTTTAAACTAAAACTTTTTGTCTTAAAACACGTACTGGTATATCAGCGGGATAAATAGAAATTTGTAATAATAGAAATAATAGAAATGAGATAATCGAAATTTATTTATAAAATTTTATTTGTTTGTTGTACATGTTTTGTTTACATCTAGAAAAAAAATGAGAGCAACTATGTGTTTTTCAGTATCCAAATTTGGCATAATGATGATGGACAGCGATACTCTCGATTGATTTCAAGTGCATTGAACAGGATACATCATTTTGTAAACATAAATGAAAATGTCTAGAATTAGCACCATAGTATTGATTAAAAAAATAAAATTTTCACATTAACAACTTAATTGGTGTTACTAGTATTATGATCCCAACTGCTAACAAAGCATGATATGAATTAATATTGACTCCTACAATTAGAAATGAAGAAAAATAGAGTTGAGTACATCAGACTGTTATCTAAATTATTACCTGAGCTTGCTGTTGTTGTCGTCGGAGTTGTTGTTGTTGTTTGTGGGATTGCTGGTGTTGTTGTTGACGATGTTGTTGTTGTGATTGTTGTTGTCGGCGTTGCTGTTGTCGTTATTGTTATTGCTGTTCCTGTCCCTGGTTCTCCCGTTGTTGCTGTTGATATTGTGCTATCATGTGTTGTCTGGCCAGGAAGCGGAGAAAATCGGGTAGTACTTTCTTCTATAAAGGTTTGCGATGAACTTTGAGTGACATCCTCTTCAACAGTATGAGCTGATGAATAATCTTCAGTCGTCTCCTGACAATACACAACCAGTATAATGTTCAATAGCGGCCATAACACATAAACGGACTTCTAAAATGTTGAAAACAACAGCGGAAAATTTTTAAAAGCTAATCTCCCATGTAAAATAATAGCATTTCCGAAGCTCTGGCATTCCTCCAATATAAAAAATTGTTTTTATAAGTACCCAAGCAAAAACGACCCAATTTTTTGGATTATTTATCTAGATTCAGCTATGTACATGGATGTACATTTCAGTTATTTGATCATATAAATGACCATTCGATCAAAATACAATAAAACAAACGTATTGTGAATGTTATTATCTTTATCACAACTATTGTAAATCCGTTTGTTTTAGCATTTCAATTCTATTATGTAATGTACTATGAATAATTATACTAACCATTATAATAATTTCTGTTTCTTCTTTTTTATCAGTGTTATTTTCAAATAAATCTAAAACGATATATAAGCGGTTAAATATGAAATATGTATTAGCTATAGAAAGGATAAGATCCTTCTAAGAAGTGGACAGTCCACTAGAGTAATTGTCGTTTATAGATATAATGAATTTATGTTAAACTCATAAATTATTCCTTGTAATATTTCGTTTTTACATGGTTGTCTTTCGGTCGCTATATGAGGAAATAGTATCAAAACTGAAGAAAAAAGACGTTTTAAAGTAAACAGGATACCATCAGAAAATCATAAACGTACTTAATGTATGGTTTTGGTATGAAATGTTGATATGAAAATAAACCTAGGTGAAGTTATCAATTATATTTATACACAACTATTCGCCTTTATCTATTGTTTGATATTAATAGAGATCACATATTAAATTGTCTATAGTTATACGATATCTAACTGAAACAAGAAGAAACACTTTTTTTCTGTCACTTTCAAAATAACTTAGATACCGTTTTCTGTGGGAAAAAGAGAATTATTGATATACTACATAAAAATTTTAACTTAAAAGCTGTAGCAAGAAAAGTTAATGAATAATTCTGTTGATTTATAGGTTTCTTTAGTATCAATAAATCACTGGTTTTTAAGTATTAGACATAAAAATATGTTGTTTTAGTTGGTTTAATACAAAATTTATCTACAAATCTTCATGTAAATACCTCTTACTATATAGCAACGATATCTGGTTGTTAATGAACAATATATATGTTGTATAATGCAAAAAATCTCTCTGGAAGTGATGATATTATAAAAAAAATCTTCTTCCACCTTCTTTTTCTGCTTTAAAGTAGAAAAAAAGAAAAATGATCACAAATACTGAGGTGTGTAGGTTATGTTCCCTATTTCTATCTCAGATTGCAATGAAGTAATAATATTTAGAAATATACTGACCTAATTCGACAGTATAGAACCATTTTGGGTTTCATATGATCAATTCTTTTCGTGTTTTCTTTCGATTATATACATGTTTTTCTGCTTGTACATTGTATGTGTCAAGAATTTTTTTTCATGTCCGAAAAAAAAGACTTGTTATATTCTAGCACGTATGTGATATCGAAGATCTATGTTATATAATAATGTCAAAATGTAGTGGATAAAAAAGCAAAATAAATCATAGTGGATTACATCGTTTTTAAAAATTTAACGAATATCAAATAATAAAATATCTAAATACATTCTGATTTAAAATTACTCCGTTCCTGCTGTGTTTTCAGATATTTCCATAACATGGTCCGGCCTGAAATAACCAGATCCGCACTTTTCTAGAAAGTTCACGCCTAAATAATTTCGGTACTGAAAATCAATGACAACTCAATTATTTTGAGATGACTTTTCAAAAAGAATTGTTTGTACCAACTTATTGTGTAAGCCAAGATTTGTGACACTAGGCTTTTGACAAGCACTCCAGAAAACCAGTCTTTAAGATCTCCTTTTTGTGCCGTCAGAGAAAATGAGACTTATGAGCTATAGAGGTGCTGAAACGGTACTCTTCAGAAAAAAGTTTAAGAATCAATGGAATAGTTTAAAGAAACCAGACGCTCAAACTCAAGGTTTAAGAAAATCGTACAATTGGTCATTCTTAATAAAAACCAGACGCTCAACTCAAACGCTTTCTTGCTCATGTAATTTGTGCTTCTGTCAAGATACCAAGTATGGCTTTGTATGGCATCTATAATAGGTGTTTATTTGATTTTTGACTGTTTTTTGAAAGATACAGAAATATGATATTTTAACTTTGTTCAACTTCTAGGTTAGATCTATAATAAGAAGATAGAACAAAGCTCTGATGTTATAACGTTGATACTCACGTCACACATACCGCTTTTTGAGCTCTGTTCAATAACTGAGTAGGAATTTTTTAAGAAAAACTTGGCGATCTTGTTTTATGCAGAATTTTTACTAAAAACTGAGTTAATTGATCCCTCAGTTTTATAAAGTTTTTCTCAATTATCTTTGAAAAGATAGATGGATTTGTGTCGAATACGACATGAGCTACAGACTGAATATAGTACCAATCCCACCGCCTGAAAATCGGGTATAAAATGAGCGAATCGACATGAAAACAGCCTAATAAAGTAATACAGTGTCTAGCATTATTTGTGAGGGGATATACACATCTAAATGAATAGTTGATTCCCGTACTAACAAATGATATTATGGAGAAGTTCGATTTTCTATGATTCTCCTACAGATTTAACATATAAATATCAAATACCAACTTTAGTTTTTCTAGTCTGGAACTCGTCACTATGGGTCTGAATAAAACAGATTCAGGTTTTCCAGGACTTATATGCATCTGTTTGTGCCACAGACCAAAATAAAAATAAAAGTTTCATATTCCAACTGACAATAAGCACTGACTTCCAGTCGATATACTTATTTTAAAAAAATCTACACTATTGAGCGTTTCGACCCGTCAGTCATTCACTATCGGATACAGTTTAATATTAAATGATTCCTATCGGTGATACGTTTTTAGAAACTCGACGTCAACGATTAAATCATGATTCCGTATATGCTTTATTATTTTTATGACAGCTTCGAAAATAGGCATGCAATCTTTCTGAGTATGATTGTGGAAACAGTATACGCTGCTTTGTATGAATAGAATAAAAAATGTGGTCCATTAATATGAAATAGTACTACAAGCGCAAGATGCTACGATATGTGCAGGAAAGGATTTGCATAAAGGAGTAAAAACATTTTTCAATAGAGAAGACTTTTCTGGGCGGTCGATGGTTAATTTGCCTCAAGACATTTTATGTCTACCGGCTTCGGGTTACATATTCTCAGTCCGTGTAGGTCTCTCTTGTGCGCTTGAATTCAACTTCTCTGCGATCGAACAGAAAGTTAACTAAGTTCATTGCACAGTGAGTATTCAAGAGCTGGAAGTTTTCGGATAATCAATGCCTAAAGATTACTGCTGGTACCTCCCACGCAATATTCGAAACTGTCACGGCAAAGGTGTTTTAAAAAGACTGAAACGTAAAGTTGTTATCACTACGCTTTTATTGTTTCGCTATTGAGATCTTTCCGCGGTCGTAAATTCTTCACGTTATTAATGAGATTTATTCATCTTTTTCGTCTTTGGTAACAGCATATACAAAAAAAAGTTCAACCTCTGAAATTTTCTCATAATCAATTCACATTTGTTTTTTGGAGCTATAATAAACGCGTATTTACAGGTAAAGTTCAAGGTAACACAAAAGACTTTATCGTGTGTGTAAGAAGAACTTGCCATTGTAGTCAGTTTATACAATCAGTATAAAAAGATGAAACTCCATCATTATTCGGCTTTTTTCAGTAGAGTCAAGTTTTACTATTATTGATTTCGCATTTTTTCTCTTAACTCACGTAATGAAATCTTCATTTCAGTAATAACTGTACCAAACGTAGGAAAAATGTTTATGCTATTATCGTGTCTCATAGAATGTTATTATGTTTAAAAGGTGAGAAAAAAATTTTGCAGAAGAAACTAAGAAATTTAGTATCAACTGATACGTTTTCTAGGCAGCATATTGTAGACACACGGTTTTTCGAAGATTTTTGTAAATCGTGTGAAGACGATGTGCCCTTTCTGTGAGTGCAACTCTGTATTCATTAAAGCTATGCAGATGCACGTCTATTAGTTGGCGTTTTCGGTTGTTTATTTGTTTTCGAAGTTTCAGTACGCTAGGCGCTTGTTTATCCATAGTAACTTTTCTCTTCAAAAGACATTTTTAATTTTGATTTATATAGAACAACAAAGATAAAATAACTAATCAAAAATATAAGTTCTATTTAGAATAGAAATCAAGTGTTGTATTTTAGCAGTCTTTCACACATACTCCGTTGCAAGACAGGGACAGATCTACTATCCGTTTCAAAATATAGTAGCCACGGTTATTTTTGAATGATATTTAAAGACAGTGGGCTACGGACCTGCGATTTTCAGTTTATGAAAGAGAACACTCGAGGGTGTAATCAGGTGGAAAAATGAATCAGATCCAATGAGTCTACCATGATGTACCTTTCGAAACA